ATATATATATATATATATATATATATATATATATATATATATATGTGTGTGTGTTTATTGGTTACCTCACTCTGGGTGATTTTTTAAAATTCCATCCATTTACTTATGAATCTTATTATTTCGTTTTATACCAGCTGAGTAATACTTCATTGTATAAATGTATCATATTTTCTCTATCCATTATTCTGTTGAGATATCTAGGTTGTTTCAATTTCTAGGCATTCTGAATATAGAAGCAATGAAAATGGTTGAGTAAGTGTCTCTGTGATAGGAAAAAGATTCACGAGGTTATATGCTCAAGAGTGATATAGCTGGATCCTTAGGTAAATAAATTCCCGTCTTCCTGAGGAACCACCACACTGATATGCACAATGGCTGTATAAGTTTAAACTCCTACCAGCCAAAGAAGGGTGTTCTCCTTATTCCACATCCTTGCCAGAATGAGTTTCCACTTGTTTTGTTTATCTTAGCTATTCAGACATGTTCATACATGAAATCTCAGGTAGTTTTGATTTGCATTTCCCAGGTGGCTAAGGACATTGAACATTTCTTTGTTTCTTATCCATTTAAGTTTCCTCTTTTGAGAATTCTGTTTACATCTGTACCTCTTTTTATTATTAGTTTGTTTTCTTGACAAACTAATGTAGTTTTTTTAGTTCTTTATATATTTTGGTTACTAATCCTCTATCAGCTGTATAGTTGGTAAAAATCTGTTCCTATTCCGTAACCTGTCGCTTTTTCTGAGTGGCAATGTCCTTTGCTTTGGAGAAATTTTCAAGTTTTGTTAGGGCCATTTATTGAATGTTGCTCTAAGTGTCTGTGCTAATGGAGTGTTCTGTGCAGAAAGTATTTTCCTGTGCCAATGAGTTCAAGGTTATTCCACACATTCCCTTTTACCAGGCTCAATGTATTTGGTTTTATTCTGAAATATTTGATCCATTTGACTTGAGTTTTGTGCAGACCCAAATATGGATCCTTTGGATTCTTCTACATTCAGTTGTCCAGTTTAACTAGAACCCTGTATTGAAGATGGTGATTTCTTTCTTGTGCATATTTCTGGCATTATCAACAATCAGATTTCCATGGGTATATGTATTTATGTTTGGCTCTTCAATTCAATTCCATTGATCGGTATGCCTACCTTTGTGCCAATACCATGCTAATTTATTATTATATTTCTGTGGTATAACTTGAAATTAGGGATGGTGATACCCCCCAAAGTTCTTTTATTATTATTCAGTATTGCTTCAGATTTCATTTTTGTTTGTTTTGTTTGTGTGTGTGTGTGTGTGTGTCCATATGAAGGTAAAAATTTTCCATTAAAGATCTGTGAAGAATTGTATTGGAATGCAAAAACCATTATAATATGTTTTTTTCCTTTCATAGCACATAAAAGTGTGAAAATATGTGACAGTATAGCAACTTTAAAGAACCCTGTCTATCAGTCTATATAAGGTATTTATTTGAAGCATTAATGTTAGGAAACAGACACCTATTCATCTTCTCTTTTTCCACCCCATCTTTTTTGTTACTTTAGACAAACAAAGGGGATGCCCTTGCTAATCGAGTCCAGAATACTCTTGGAAGCTATGATGAAATGAAAGATCTACTAACTAACCATTCCAGTCAGAATCACCTGGTGGGCATCCCGAAAAATTCTGTGCCCCAAACTCCTATCAGCAAAAGTGAAGCAAGCTTTTATCCAGAACAAAAAAATCGAATGATACCATCTCACCAGGAGAATACCCAATCCTCAGCACCAATGCCTCCACCTTCAGTTGTGATACTGAATTCCACTCTAATACACAGCAACAGAAAATCAAAACCTGAATGGCAACGAGATAATCACAACACTAGTCCTGTACAACCAAGCCAGGCAACTAGTAAGCCAAACAAGATGCAGACATCCACACAGGATCCACCTCAAACCCGACTGGAAGACTTCTTTGTCTATCCAGCTGAGCAACCCCAAAGTGACACAGTTGAACAATCTAATCCATCTGCAAAGGAAGATGACACCAAGTCTGGAGAAGATGCTTTCAAAGAAATCTTTCAGTCTAATTCACCAAAAGAATCTGATTTTACAGTGCAAGCACCTGGGTCTCCCCTAGTTGCTTCATCTTTATTAGCTCCCAGCTGTGGCCTTTCTGTCCCAACCTTCCCACCTGGGCTTTACTGCAAATCAAGTATGGGGCAACAAAAGCCAACTGCATATGTAAGGCCCATGGATGGGCAGGACCTAGCAACTGACATCTCTCCAACACTGAAGCCTTCCATTGAATTTGAGAACAGCTTTGGAAACCTCTCCTTTGGATCACTGTTGGATGGGAAACCCAGCACAACCAGTTCAAAGACCAAGCTGCCGAAGTTCACAATCCTGCAAACAACTGAAGTAAGTGGTTTTTAAAAAATTTTCCATGATTGGTTTTCTAGTCACTGGTAACTACGCATATGCAACTCATTTATCATATTGCTCTGTGTGCATACCTCTCTTTGAGGTGAGTTTGATTCATGGTCTGGGGTAACTTGGGACACAAATGAATAACACTTCAAATACGGTTAAGTCTCCATAATTTGTGATGTCGAAATATGTGAATGAAGCAGTGTAGTTATAAAACAATTTTAGAAACTTATCTTGTAGTGAAATTATGTACAAAATAATAGCATTCTCTAGAATCAATGCACTATTTTTTCTTTGAAACAAGAACCCATATAGCCCAGGTTGGCATCAAATCCTCAAAAAAGGAGCCAAATCTACTGATCCTTTCACTGCCACAGCCCAAGTGTTCTAAGTACAAGGACACACAACAGCACTCAGTGCCTAACATAACAAGGCATTGTGAACACTCCCTTAGAGTTTTCAGTGTGTCTACAGGGGTGTTCTTTGACAAGGTATTAATATTATCTTTCATATCTCCCATATAGCCTCTTACAAAGAAATAAGTAGATAACGATTAAGACAGGTCTTAGGGATCCTGAGATAGCCCGAATGGAAACCGCTGCCCACTGCCCTTTCAAGCACATGGCTTCTAAGAAGTCACTTTCTTTAGGTTTAATTTCTTTAACTGATAACGCGAAGCTTGAAAAAACAGGGGGAGAAAACATGTTAACATTCTTATTCAATCGGAGTTATTGGTCAACAGCCCAAATTGATAGACATTCTGAGTCAGTACTGTCTAAATTGCAAAAGTATAATCCAGTAAGGCCTTAAGCTTGTCTTCTTTTCTTCATTCTCACTAGAGAATGTGGTGACATTGGTGAATAATACAAACACAAAGCAGGAGAGGCCTAGGAAGGTTGATTGTATTTTGTGGACTTACATTTTGATAGTGTCTCATTTTGAGGTGATTTGGGTTTTGTATTATAACTCATGAAGTCTTGCCAAGCCTGCACCTAAGTATCTCTCCGATCTGCCTCCTCGTCCCTACATTTGGTGCCTTTGTCTATGAATTGCTATGACCATCCATAACTACCCACTGACTCCTGTCCCATGTCTCTTTCAAACCATCCTCTGTATACAAGTCAGTACCTTCCTTTGATTCCTTACTGCATTGTCATTACTTTCTGAGATAAGCCAAGGGTTCTTCCTGGTCTATGCGTCTTCACAGTTTGACTTCACTTTTCCTTTCATGAACAAAGGCAACTGTTGGGTAAAAAATGTATCCTCAGCTGTGTGTAATTGTATTATTTCTGCCTATGCCTTATTCTATTCTACTATGTAGTCACTAAGGAATCTTAAACTTAATTTCTACTGCATGTCTTAATACTGAGTTTTAACATAAAAACTAAATATGGATATGCTATGAAAGAAGAGGCTAATAGGAAATTGGAGTGTCATATGACCCTTTCCTTGTCTGAGTACCTACTATTGCTCTCTCTTACATAGCAGTGGCATCTCTCGGTACTGACTTGCAAGTAGCGCTGCTGCATGAACAGTCTGCTAGGCTGATCCATAACTCATTAACAGAGAGACAGGTCACCCATCCAGTGAGATCCATTCTGTTGTAATCCTCTTTCTTACACATTCACAAAATGGCTGATTCAGTTTCAGAAATGACTTCATGGTTTTGCCTCAATTCTCCAATACACCAATGAGAGGAGTATTTTCAAAGTGTCTGAGTGAGCTGTCATCTTCTCTGGATGTGATTATCCAAGGAGTGATGGTTCAAATTGACTTTGGTAGAGTTTTGTCAAGAAAATGGATCAGGTGCAATAAAATCATGATATGATATCAGTGAGGAGAGAGTGTTTATTTTAAAATAGTGGTCTCAAAGGATTTCAAACAGGGGGAGATTGAAGCTTAGGAACCTAAAGCCAAGGAGAAGAAACAGATTTGAGAGGCAATGTGAAAATCAAAAATAGGAGGAAAGAAATTGAGACATTAGAGAGCCCAACAGAGAGCTTAGAAGGGTGTAGGTTGTAATGTGGACATAAATATAAACAGGGTGGAGCATTATGGAGCTTTGAACCTAATGGAATTTATGTGGCTAAAACTCTGACCAAGCCTGAAAATTTACTCTATTAAATCTTGATGCACTTTTCAAAAGCACTTAGCATTAGAATTCAGACCCAGTGCACAGTGCCAAGAATGTCAACCACTAGGTTCTGGGTCCCTAGTCAGTACAGCTATTTTTGATGGGTTGCAATATTTCTTTGAATTATTACCTTAAAGATCTATCTACAGAGCAATTTCAGTATTTTTTAAGCATTTGCAATTTTTCTCTGGATCTAGTGACAAGAAGCTGACATGTTTTAATGAAGTTTGTTTGCCATGGTTAAAAAGCAAGAAAAATTAAATGACCAGAAAACAGATATGACTCAAACATATACAAATAATCAGATATGCTAATCTTCACATATTCAGAAGTTAAAATTTTTGTTAAAACATGTTATATATTTGTGTGTGTGCATGTGTGTGCATGTGTGTGTGTGCACGCACACATGTTCATTTAGATATATATTTGGAAGGAATTTTTATTTCTTATTCTTAAAACTTTTCCTTGCCTCTTATAGTTTCTATACCACAGTAAGAAGATAAAAAGGCCAAACAACTGTATGGCATAAAATTAACTGTCCAATTGGAACATATCATTTAAGCAAATAATTTTTATTTAAAAATAACATCTTTAAATTTTTTAACATTCCATGCCACTAAATAAGAGTAATGTACTATGTAGTTGTGTCCAGAAGGATTTTTAGAAACTGAATCTGAAAATAATAAAAGCTTTATTTATGTCCAGTGGAAACTGAAAGTTGTTTATAAATTTTGTTTTCTTAAAAACTAAATTGTTGATATGTAGAACTTTATACATGATTCTGTTACAAATGTTTGGTTTTATGTTTTTGCTTTTTTTTGCATTATGATGAAAATATGATGGTATAGATAGCTTTGCATATTGTTGTAATTTCAGTCTTTTATTGGTGTTCTTTGCAAATGGGAGATCCAGTGTCTCATATAAAGTATCTCAAATAACCTTTGAAAAATATGGCACTAACGGAGAGAGTGATATCATCCCAAAGGGTTATTTGCTTCACAGGCTGCTGTTGGCTGTGGTTTAAGGTTAACTAAGCCTCCAATTGATTCAGAACCAGGAGGCTTATACAAAAGTTTAAGGGAACTGATATACTTTAATGACCGACTAGTTTCATCACCTAGCTGTAAAATTTTGTTCACATTCATAATTCTGCCTCCTTTTTTATACCCTGTGCAGTAAGCACTGTCAGTGAGCACTATAAGTATAATTAGCTTTAGTTATCATGTAGTGAGTGGTAAACTCTCATCTTTTCTGAGAGTACCATGGAGAATGCTGAAATCTTACCACTGAGAGTATGACAGTGATTGCCAGCTATATGGAAGTAAGATAGGTAGTTCTATTGAAGATTAAAAGTCCACAATACTGCTGTCTGTAGCATATGCTATGTATTTTCACTGGATGAACATCACGTGGTTGTTGTCTATTCTTATTAAAGTAAATGAAGATTCAACCTCAGCGATAAGTGGTCTAATATCAACTTTAAAAAAAGGAATATGTACACTTTATATGGTTTCACGCATTCTGGATGTGAGAAAAGGCCTTCAACCTTAATATTTGTGCATAGATGTGTAGAATCCAGAAGGTTCTGTATGTGTACGTTGGTGCTTGCCTCTTTATGTTTTTGGATAAATTTTTCTAATTAGTTCATTGTATTGGTATTACATTCATTTTTCCAAACACATCGTTTCATATTTTTCCTAACTTTAAGGTTTGCTGAAGCTAAATGAAGGAAATCAAGCAGAATTTCTGAAACAGGTAGTAAAAAATCCCCTTGTGCTTTGTGTGAAGACACAGATGAAAAGAGAGGAGTCATTTAATGTGGCTATATTTCAGTAATTAGAAAAGGTATTCTGAGGAGAACCATATACTATTCCTAGAATAGTTGCCCAGATTTATAAAACATTAGTTTATAGGACTATACAGGCAGAGTTTCACAGAGAATGATTAAGAGATAGATTTTGAACTTGGTCTTAAATGCTAAATATAATTACAAATTTGGAAGGCAGGTCATATATATTCATATTAGTAATAGACGGAGAGAATGGAATATAAAAGTTGGAATATAATTAAAAATGTTGGACTTTTTCTGGAAAAAGACATATTTGTCTATAACTAAAGGTTTGTAGGATTAAAGTGAGATAGGGCTAAAGAATACTATTTTGTCTTGAATAGATAGGCAGTGTGGATGTCAGAATACAATTGTATACTATACATTTCAGTTTCCCTGACTTCACTGGTAATTGAGAAACTCTAAAAATGCTCAACCGAGCCTCCTTATTCTTTGTTCAATACAATGTGGTCATCCCTGAAACCACACATATACCACCAACAAAAATGAACACAGTAGGTTGAGCTTAGGCATTTGTACATGCATGCACACACATATAAATATATGTAGCCATAATAATCAAAGTGAAGGAGGGTAACAGTTTAGGAGTGAGGGGAATGGGAGGGGGATAAAGGAAGAAAAGGAAGGGGGAAAGTTATGTACGTCTATTTTAATTTAAGATGTATATAAAAAGCTAATTTCCCCTAGAATTCTGAAGTTCTGAGTTCCCCTGTGCTTGTTCTCTACTTTCTTATAAGAAAAAACATCACATTTCTTCTTTTCTAAACTGCAAATCTGCCTCTGGGGGCTGTCTTAAAGGTCTTGCTAAGATAAAGCAAAAATGCCACTTCCTATGTGATTCCCTGCTCTTCGTTCATTTCATTCCTCCCTTCATTTACTTATTAGAACTAATCAAACAGTGGTGCAAAGAAACACTGGCATTAACACAATTTTGATTTCCTGATTGTTCTCTTTCTTATTTCTTCAGGTCCTGTCATTCCTCACATGTATTCTTTTCCTTCCTGAGGT